CCCAGTCTGAGTACAGTGTGCGGAGCAGAGCTGGGCTGTGTCAGTGGAGCCCAGCTCTGTGCAGTGTCTTCAGAATGTGGGGCAGAGGCAGGGGAGGGATGTTCGATCTGAGGTCTCCCCAGCCACCCCAGAGTCAGGGGGAGGTGGATTGGAGCCCCACCACCTCATGGGGTGTGCTCCAATCCACCTGCCCCACCCTCCAGCTCTGGATGGGGAGCATCTAGACCAAACTCACTTCGCTCTCTTCCCTTCCCTCCCATTCTGAAGACAATGTATGGAGCAGAGCCTGGCTGCATCAGGCAAGCCCTGCTCCTGGCAGCACTGACAGACATTAATGTAGGCACTCCACTCTGGAGAATCCTCATCTGAACCCTCATATAATGAAGATTCACATTTTCACCCGATAGGGCATTTTTAAAGTATTCTGAGGGTGTGCGCTTTTGTCAGTGCACAGCTGTAGAGCTTTTTCAGTGACCAATGGCACAACGAACTGTCACTTCTGTCAGCACCACTGTCATGTCTATCTGTGTCCTAACTGTATCCCAACTATGCAACTGTTCCAACAGAAGATACCATCCTCAGAAATCCTTGCTTCTCTCTTTTTTTTAATATGAATGATCTTCTCAAAGTAAAACAAGTATTGGTGTATTTTCATAGGTTGATTTTTAATTTGCAGGGCTTTACCGTAGATAATGGATCAGTATAGGTTAAGGTGTAAAACATTTGAGACAGACAAAGGCTTGGCATGCCTATCATTTGGAAAGTTTGGATTCTGGACACCCTTCTTGCCCTTCATTAAACCTCTCAATTCTTTCCGTGACTAGAAAAAAAATTAAGTTGCTATGCCTGTTGTCTATGCTTTTAAGAAAATATGTACCTGACAAAAATGTTTGCTATGCACTAAACTGAAACCAGAATCATGGTTAAAATTGTGCTGTGCATCCTTGGAAGCTTTCTAATCAATGAGAAACTGAGCATTCTAGGTTATGTGCAGGGTTGAGGAAATTATAGCATGCTACAGTCCAGCTTAAACAGATATTCTTTTAGTTATTTTTTAATGATTCTCAAACAGGTATGTATGAATATGATTTTTCTTGCCCAGCTGTTGGGATATTAGATAAAATGTTTGATATATTAGTGCTGCTTGCCCACACCCAATCAGTGCCTTCATTTGAAATAAATTGTCACTACAAACATTATGTCTTCCTCCTTTTCCATTCCAGTGTTTGAAATAAATAACATTTGTGGGGGGGAGTCTTGGAGGTTCTCTGGTAAGAAAAAAATCATTTTTTAGTAAATGATGTTTGGTGGAATTAACATAATCTATAGAAAAAAGGTTGTTCTATAGAAGCAATTTTGTGTGCAATAAATAAGCCATCTCTGAGGAGAGGTATAATCTGTTCTTTATGTTTTAAATGTATTAACTCTTTTCAGGTTGTTGCTTATTTATTCTTCATCTGTGAGTCCCTTTTACTGGTTTTCACTCTGTCTTTCAAAACTACTGTCTTCCCTCTGTAATATATGCCACACGCTTTGCCCTGTCTAGATCTCATGGATTCTTCCATATTTCATTCCATGTCTCTCCCTGGTTGTGCTGACATTCATGATTAATTTTTATCCTCAGGAAGATAAAGTTAGAGATTTTGGTTACACCCATTGGAACTGGGGAGGGTAGTGACCCCTTCCCCCCTTCATTTATGTTCATTTTAAGGAGTGCTACAATGGGGTTGGGCTTAAACAAAAACATAAGTAGATGGCACCACCCAAAACAAGGCAGTCAGGCATGTTCAGGAATTAGATATAAGTGGTCAGAGGTCTTTCTCTGGGTACACTTTGCATGTGAGCATTGTTTGTGTGTATGCTAGGGAGAGAGAGGAAGAGAAAAAGAGAGAGCAAGCTTATATGCACATAAGCACACAGGCACAGAAGTTCCAAATACAACCTGAACAATCATCAGTGGTGACCCTGAGATTACATCTAAGAAATACCTGATCCTTTCAACAGTTTTCCTTCCTAACTGGAACAATTTATAAGACCCTAGGTTTTAAGGGGGAAAAAAAAATTCTTAAATTTTGAAAATTAAGTACAACTCTATAAAACCTGGGATCACAGAACTCACAAAGCCCTGAATAAAATTTAAACTAAAATCTGTTTGGATGCATATCTACATAATTATAATAATCCAGGTCATCTACACTTGAGTCCTACAATCTGTTTTCCTCACTTTGCCTTCATAACATGCACTATAGTTTTTTTTACTCACAACTAGATTATCACTAAAATTATACTACAGAAAGATTTTTAAATAAGTAAAATGCCAGTGTCTCAGGATGTTTTAAATGTATTTAGTATCTCTATGTAAAAGGCATTCATGCCAGTGTTATATGTATCTAACAGAATGTTTGAAGCAAATGCCAAGCTAGTGCTCCTAGTTTAATAGATGACAAGAGGCAAAGGAATAGCAGGTTTGCTTGACAGGCATAGTCATAGGCAAAGTCACAATGGTAGGAAGCTCCTTATGGGTGGGAGCCTTTATACTTTGTTAAAATAGTTACCCTGCCCCCACCCCTCTTTTTTTTTTGGCTCTCCAGGGTGATCCTGGACCACGAGGTCCTCCAGGTATACCTGGTAGAGAAGGGCCAAAGGTAAGTTTATGAAATGAGTACTTTGGGTTTTTGTTCCATAAAAATATTATGCCAAATCTTCATAGTATCATCATATCATAGTTCTTAGGGTCGGAAGGGACCTAAACAGATCATCAGGTCTGACTCCCTGCCCCAGGCAGGAATGGGTGCTAGGATCATATCACCCCAGCCAAATCTCTGTCCAGCCTTCTCTTGAAGACCCTCAAGGTAGGAGAGAGCACCACCTCACTTGGGAGCCCATTCCAGAGCCTGGCAGCCCTAACTGTAATGTCTCCTGATGTCCAGCCTGAACCTTCTCTCTAACAATTTGTGGTCGTTATTCCTCGTAACCCCAGGTGGTGCCCAGAGGAACAGAGCCTCCCCCAATTCCCACTGGTCCCCCCTGATGAGTTTGTAAACAGCCACCAGATCCCCTCTCAGCCCTCTCTTGTGGAGGCTGAACAGTTTCTTGTGCACCTGTCTTATAATCCTCTCTGTAGTGTCTGAACATGTTGAAATCTTTGATATGTTTATTATGTCAATGCTGCTGGGGAGTAGAGAAGTGCTATTTTTATTCAGTCCAATTTTATAGATGGGGAACTAAGGCACAGAGAAAGACTGAGCTGGCCATGCAAGACATTTTTGACAGGGGAGGGAATTTTTCATGTCCCAGGCTAGTACCACAATCAGTAGACCATTTCACATCCTGAATTCTTGCATCTCATTATTCGTGTGAGTTCTTCCCTTGATTTCAGTGGGACTTGGCACCCAATCCACAAAGGTATTTAAGCACCTAAACTCCCATTAAAATCAATGGGAATTGAACAAGCTCTGGTATCAATAGGAATCATGCTTCACTGAGTTCTGACAGAAAACTATATAATCTAATATCTAAATCTCTTAAAGGAGAACAGAATAATAATCAGAAAACATATTCTCTGTTAAGAGGAATGTCTGAATTAATTGCAGCTTATCACATTAAACTCTGAAGCAAGGCTCAGTTCTGTGGGCTAGATTCAGCTGCTGAATAAGCAAGCATAATTTCTATTGGGAAGCATGTTTTATATCTTCCAGCTTAGAATTTGGCCCTTTGTCCATTTTATGGTTTCTTATTGTTCCTATGTAAACTCCATGTTAAGCTAGTTGAAATAATACAAATCATGAAGACCACAGCAGCCCATGAACTTTGGTGGCCATAATAAAATACAGTAATAGTTGAAATCTTATGTCTTCATAGGGAACCAAAGGTGAGCGTGGATTTCCTGGAATTTCTGGAGAGAAAGGTGAAGAGGTAACATTATTTTCATTTCTATAATGATTACATTCTAGTTATTGTTATGTTAATTTGTTATATTGTCAATTAAATAAGGACAGTTTCATTTTTCATTTCATCATTTATTTTCAGAGGTTAATTTATATTTAAATACTGATGTTTAGCAAAATGTCCCACATGCAGCAAAAAATGCACATCTGCCAGATATGTTTTTAAACATGTTCGCCTGTTGCAATAAATTTGCTTTGACTGCATGAGAGTCCCCCTCTTATAACTCACTTTCCAAACACCTGTAAGTTTATTAATTTATTGGCAGGAGCATCCATGGCCAAAGAAAATGTTAAGCTAATACTGGAAAACATTTAGAGACTGAATTTCAAATTTGTAAATAGGAATATTCGCACCAGATCTTTGATTACTAAGAATTATTGTCATCCAGTCAGGAACTGGAAAAAATACTGGTACCAGTCAAAACCAGTTCTCCCATTCTTAATATGATAGATCTGCACTGATGAGCTCAAGAGTAATCTTCTGTCAAAAGAATTTACTAAAATGATTTGAGCAATATATAAGGAAACAATGAACTCCTCAGGAACGCTTTGTCAGCTGAAATAAGTAAAATAAAATAGTTTTCAGCATATAATATTCATTGAGTGCTCAAACACCAAAGCATGCAAATTAGAACCTGTCCAATATTACTACTAAATTTTAAACTATATTCCTTTGATACAAGACAAAACATTGGAAAAAATCTCACAGATTTTTTTTAATTCATAAAACGATTAATCTTTTATTGTTTTTATAGATTTTATGATACAAGACAAAAGTAATAATGGATAGGAGGAGAAATAGAACATAAAAATGATTATTTGAAGGTGATTTTGAAACTAAAATCTTCATTAAACATAATCCATAGTTTTAAAGGGTGTTCAGTTAGGGGTATGCAAAATATAACTGTAACAAGCGGGTGTCCCAGGGCTGACCTCATAGTAGATCTGCCCACTTGTTTCCGGGCTAGCCACACTCCCATCTCACCTTCCATGCCTTGATGTTCGCGATTGTCTCATGTTAATCAGGCAGAAGGCTTCCCTTTACCTTCCCTGATGACAAGGGCCTCTGTATGTGCTCCAGCTTTCCCTTGACTTGTCCCATGCCTCACAGATATTTCCTCCAGCTAGCTAGCACTGGGACCCGAGCTCCAGAGTCTCACATGGGACTCTCACTCCCCACCGGAGCTCAAGGTCCCAGCACCCTCACACTGGGTTCCTTATCCTGGCCTCACACCCAGCCTTATAATATTCTCCTACACATACTGGGCTCCCAGCCCTATCTCTGGGCCTACAAGCCCCATCCTTAGGCTCCAGGCTTCATCCTTGGGCTCCAAGCCCCGCCCCAGGCATCTAACTCCTCTCTCTATCTCTGGGCCCCAGGCCCTTTTACTATGGGCTCCAAGCCCCTCACAATATGGACTAGGACTCCAACCCCCATCGCTCCACGAAGCCTAACACCCAGCTCCCCAATATGCCCCAGGCTCTCCTGTGAGACTGGGGCTGCCACAGGTCCCTCCACCTGGCCTGGGCCCCGCCTTGGTGCTTACAGTGAGCCTGGGCTCCCCCTGTCTCAGATCAAAACCCACCAGGGATGTGGGGGCTGGGGTTTTCAGGCGCCTTTACTCGCCTTTCACTGGGGAGGTAACTGCCTTGGTATTTCTGGGGAGCTACCCCACCACAGGTAGCTCCACCAGGCCACCCTTCTCCAGCAGGGTGCAGTTTCAGGTCATGCCCAGAACCGTGGGGCCTCCTTCCCCATAGCCCCAGCCCTTACCTATAACTGGTGCTGAGCAGAAGCTTAGCCAGTGCTGACCCTCCGGCTCATGGCAGCAGACTGCTGCCTATGCCCTGGTAGATGGCAGAGGCCAGGGTGCTCTGTTACAATGGTTCATTGGCCGAATCCAGTCTGCAAATTAATTGGATCCATCCCACAGCTGCCCCCACAGTGCTCTGCCTAGGGCCAAGCTCCACCTAAAGCAGCCTGTGTCATGCTTTCACCCACTCCCACCAGTAATAACAGAGCTGCTCCCGGTTACACGCTCAGGTGGTGTTTGGCTGTCCCTTCCACCACCAGCACCTCCTACTCCTGCCCCTGCTGTGTCACTCTGAGCAGGGAGGGAGCTGCAGCCGAGCAGCTCCTGCCCCACATGCAGGGCTCCAGCTCCAGCTCCTGGCCAACTTCCACTCACTCGACCACCCAGTGCCATGAGCAGCTACCTGCAGGTGACTGAGTGGATGGAAGGCAGCTGGGAGCTGGATCCTTGCGAGCTGGGACAGAAGCTACCTGGCTGAAGCTCCCCCCCTCCAGAAGTGGTAGAGCAGGGGCAGAAGAAGGAGGGAGAGTTGCTGGAGCTGGGGGAAGCGGAGCAGTAGTCGGACAGCTGCAGCCGCACCAGGAGTAGCCCCGCTGGGAAGCTGCCTGCACTGGCCATGGCAGAGGCCGGTGAGCACAGGTGAGAGCATGGTGCTGACTGCCCTGGGCAGGAGTGGGAGGGGCTTACCCTCATGTGGAGTGCCACGGGGGGCAGCCACAAACTGAACCTACACCATACTGTTCAGATGAGCTCTGCTGTACATGCCCCTGGGAACTAGTGCCTAAGCAGCTCCTCCCACCCCCCACACATACACCACCCACACACACACACAATATTCAAGAGTAAGACTTTATTTTGAGTTATTATGCAATTGCATCTATATATGCTACTCAAAAAAAATCAGGATGAAAAATATTTTTTAAATAAAATTAAAATATGTCATAGTAGTTGTTTGATTTTTAGCATATGATTTGTTTTTTATCTATAATTTGTTAAAATTATATATTCTAAAAGATTTTGCATGTGTGGCCCACAACAGGTCAACAAAACTCGTTAAGTGGCCCTCCAACTGAAATTATTGCCCATCCCCAAGTTAAGCTACCTGTAAGATCATAGGCAGATACAGGCTTTTAAAAAGAGGGTAGGAGTAGTGCACAGCACTGCAAGGGTACCTGCACTTCCCCACTTCCAGCCTTCCCCCTCTCCCACTGGTGTGGGCATACCCCTTTTATAAGTCTCCAAACCAGGTAAAAATCTTTCTGTTCCCCCTCACCTTTGGGAACCCTATCCCTCCCCCATCTCTCCCTTGGGTCATCTGGAGAAAGTAGCAGCTGCAGGTGTAAGATGACAAGAATAGGAGGATGGGGAGGTGCCACTGAGTCCTGGGGAAAGGATGGGGTACCAGACTGGGTGGATGGCTCTTATCTGCTTCAGGGACTTTAAGTCTCCAGCTGTTCCTTCTGCACAGTGATCTGAAAGGGGGGTACAGCTATGCCACTGTGTCCTCTCTGGATGTGCCTCTGTGTAAGATGTTTACCAAGGTTATGGTAGAGGGTATTTTTTTACCTTTATATCATATGCTTCTTATTCTGTACAAGTCAAATAAATCCAGAAAAATTGCTAATTATAATCATGAACTCATGTCAGAATTAAGCATCCAATATACATCTTCTGATAAATAAGTAAGCACGTCTAACTTGTGCTGTCTTAATTCTGTTGTAAAGAATCAGAACAAAAGAAGCATTAAATATATTCCCATATTGCAGCTGCTTTTCTCAAGAACTCAGCAGATTCCCCAAGTATTAATCTGGTATTGGAAATGATCATGCTTTTTATTTCCTTTGAGAAAACACTATCTAGAGAACTTACTATTTTTCAACTTCTTAAATGCTCAATCTCTAATTTTGGAATGCATACTTTAAAATAAAGTTAGTCACAAATACGATCCAAATAACATTCTATTAAAAATGAGAACATGGTAAGAAAATATCACATCCTTCCTCTGTGTGTACTCTAGCATATCTCTTTGCCATGCATTCAGCAACAGCATGAGACACAGAGAAGCAATTTTAAACAATTCTGACAGCTTCTAACTGTTGAGACTCAAAAGAGATTTTAAAGGCAATCGAGAAGGTAATAACAAAAAGGCCAGGTTATAATTGGCAATTAGTCTTTGAAAAGGACTCTAGAGTAAATTCAGTCTAAGTAAATTTTTATTGATTCAGTAGGGTGCCAAGCTAATTCAGTCAATAGCTAAGCTTTTAATGCTCCCTCACTGTCTAATAGCTGGTTAGGCACTCCAACACTCTTTGGTAGCTCCTGCATATCAGCAATAGCTTTAGGTTACTACATTTTAATTGGGTGAATGAATGTTATTTCCAGGAGAGTATGTAATAGAGATTATCTTCCATTAATGAGTCTGAAACTCCAGTGGTCTGTATGATTTGTTTTGCTTAGCAACAAAACATAGATGATGGTTTAGTGCCTCATCTAAAGTTCACTGGAGCCAGTGGAAATACTCACAGATACAAGTGGATTTTGGAAAAGGCCCTTAATGTTTATTTATTTAGATTTGTAGCCTGTAGTATAAGCAGGATGGATATGTAAACCAAAAATGTATTCATCAAAATAAGTGAGTCAATGCTGCCCCCATTTATTTCAAAGTTAAACTTTCACTGATTTCAGTAGGATAAGGATCAGATATTCTGCCTAGTACACAAACATCTGTAACTTGAGATTCCCTTTTATCTTGCCTCTACCTCCTTCATGTTCCCTTGCAGTGTCTGGTCTCATAAATTAATTCTAAATTGAAAATGTCATTAGTAAGACTAGTTCAGTTTTGTGAAAATCCATGGTAGGAAATTTATCAAGTGCTATATAGACTGCAATAACTAGTTCAAACACGCACTTCTTGAAGGCTGCTGTGACATTAGTAATGCCTGTTAAATGGTAATAAAATTAACTCAGTGTTTATATAAACCTGTTGTGGTCACTATATATTACAAGGTAGGCTACATATGGCTAGGTTTAACTAATTCAAAGTCAGGTACAGATGCCACAGAAGAAGGTCCTTCTACCAAAGTTCGCAGGGATGAGGTCTTCTTAAACATCAGTGTCTCCCATATCAGTGGACTCTCACTCTAATTCTTGTTTC